GAATAATTGTACGTGAGTTTTTGCGTTTCTGGCGTCGACAAGCGGCAGATATGCTCAAACATTTGCACAGTATGCTATATTTTTTTTATATATATATTTTTTAGGACAAAGTAGAGCAGAAGTTGCGAACACTTTTGCTATGGTGTAGACTTCAATGCCCGGGAAATATCGCGCCAATAAATACGCGCAAGCATATACAATTTGTAACAATTTTACATTTCGGGATTTCGGGATTAAGAAATGGCGGACACGGGATCCCGAACTTTTTCGAGTTTGTAACAGAATAAAATTATTAACATATTCTGTTAAAAAATGTGTGCGATGCAGCCATTTACTAATACAATATATTCTGAGAAAAAATGTGTTTGTTGGAGACAATTAAAACGTTTCTCATATGAGCAAAAATATGTACATATAAGTATAAAAAAGGCATTACCCAACATAGTTTTTGATAGCTAACAGCTCATCAGCAAAATATCTTAATAAAAACAAGAAAAATCAGCTGCACCAAAGCCATAATACCCTTCACAGCTGCATTTCTGCAGTCAGTTTGTATGGCAGCTATATGCTATAGTGGTCCGATTTGAACAATATGTTCGGTAATTGTAGCATTGCCTTGGACAATAATACATGCCGAATTTCATGAAGATATCTCGTCAAGTAAAAAAGTTGTCCATACAAGGACTTGATTGTGATCGATCAGTTTTTATGGCAGCTATACACGAACCATTTCAATTGCCTTAAGTGGCAGCATCAAGCAGCGCGCCCTTATAGTTTTATCAGATTTAAGCGATATTGATTGTAGCTATTTAGAAATTTCTTAGCAGCAGAAGACACACACAAGTTGCTTTGCTGGTGATTTACTGATTGACTTCAGGCACTTTCAACTTAGAACAGAAAAGCAAAAAAAAAATTCCTTTCAAAATAACCGGCTCAATTTCGCGCTTCTACAATTTTATCAGCAAAAACTTCCACTTCATTACAATGATTCAAGTAGGCAATGCGTAAGCGATTAAAAACTCTTTGTAAATTGAGCACATTCACGTGAGAATGCCTAGCAGCAAAGGAACTGATTGTTGCGCCAATTCAACAGTTGTGCCGCAGCAAAAGTTTATTTCGATTCTGCAAACAGTTGTGTTTATTGCTGTGCTGTCTCCGTATTCACCTTCAAACGACCAACTAGTAGTACAGCAATCATGCATGCAGTCATTCCGGGTATATGCAGCATTGCATTTCACTTTCGTGATTGTGCCAGGGGCACTAAACCAAGCATACACTCAGCATGCACATTTTTAAGCTTTTGTTTTGCAATATTTCCGCTCATGGTTGTTATTGTCGCGTATGTCATTGTCACAATTTCTTCTTCTTCAAAATAAATTTAAAAATGCTCGTCAGCAGCACAAGCGTTACGCTGTCGGTGAACTTGCTCAGACGACATACGTCCTCGACTTATCATACGCACGAGTGCGAGTGTGTCGGTAATGTGGTGCATGTAACCAAATGAGCGGCGAATATATAACATGCGAAAATGACATACAACATGCGACAAAAGCAATGGAAAGCGCTGTAAAGTGTACGCAAAAGCCAACATTCGCAGATAATGAAATTGAAAATGGAGCGGAAAGTTCGAAATGTCGTCAAAAGGCAAGATAATGCAATAAAGCAAGAAATTGAGCAAGTACTGGAAAATGCAGCACTAACAAAAGAGATGTATAGAATAATGAGTGGAGGACAAAGTCAAAGCATGGACTTAAGATGATGGTTTGCGAATAACAAAAAAAAAATAATAATAAAAGAAATATAAAAATTAATAAAAATAAATTTAAAAAAAAAAAAATTTTTAATTAAATAAATAAAAAATAAAAAAAAATTTTAATTAAATAAATAAAAAAATAAAAAAAAATTTTTAAATTAAATAAATAAATTTAAAAAAATTTTTTTTTTTAAATTACATAAATAAATTTAAAAAATTTTTTTTTTTTAAATTACATAAATAAATTTAAAAAAATAGACAAAAAACGAAAAAAAATGTGGTAAACTACATAATCCGAAAAACTGTTGCTCACTGTAACACAAAGTTACAACTTATGCACAGACATGTTTTAAATGAAAAAAAAACTAGGTCTATAGATGTTACCAGAAAAGTCAAAAACTCTCGATACTACACTTACACATAACAGGTATTAATGACAAAAATTATAACTATGTAAGTCGAAGTAGTTGATCGTAACTCGCCGCTAGTTAACCATTCATCGCTTAAACGATTCGTTGAACTTGAGAAAATGCATAATTTTTGTAATAAATGCGCTTCGTATTTCATTTTGACAATCTATAGAACACTATTTATAATGTAGACACCCCAGAATGCGATAATTTCACTACTTACGATTCTCTATCTACTTTCTAAAGCATGAAAATAATTATTTTCACTTTCAACACTGCAGCACACTGCCCAAGCATAGACATAGCCGAACGAAAAATTACCTACACTTAAAAACTTCGCGCGACCTTCCGTATCCTTAGGGTTTATTTACCTCGTTTGCCAACTTGCTACGTTTTAATTCAATTTGTTACAAGTATAAATGGCACTTGGACGTGCTGAAAGGGAAGCACTTGTGCGCATATAGATCTATTTCACTTTGGGGAATTATGTATGTGAATCGCATTGGTAAGTGGTTAAGCGCGGCGACAAAATATAAGATGAATTCATTGGTCATTTATCAACAGGAGTTTACAAGAGCTAAGGAAATTGGTCACATGAGAATAGAAAAAAGTTACAAAAAATTTTTAATTTTTTTTATTTTAACAATCATACATTTTTTTTTTCAATTTTAAAATTCAAAAGAAAAAAAAATTTTTAAATAAAAATAAAATTTAAAACATTTACCAAATAAAATTAAAATTATTTTAATAATCAAAAAAAGTTTTAAATTATAATTAAATTTATTAATAAAAAAAATAATAATAATCAAAATATTTTAAAAAAAATTTAATAATCAAAATATTAAAAAAGAAAAATTTAATTAAAAACTATAATATAAAATTTAAAAAAAATTTAAAACATTTACCGATTTATAAAAAAAAATTATTTTAATAATCAAAAATAATTTTTAAACAATTAAATTTTATAATAAAATTTGTGTATTTATTTTAATAATCAAAAAAGTTTTAAATTTAAAACCTATCAAAATTAAAAAAAAAAATATTTTAATAATCAAAAACATTTTTTAAATACAAATTAAATTTTAAAAACAATTTTTAAATTATAATTAAATTTTTAAATAAATTTTTATTTTATTTTAATAATCAAAATATTTTAAATTACAATCTAAAAATAATTTAAAAAACTATAAATTAAAAAACACAAAATTTAAAACATTTACCAAATTTAAAAAATAATTATTTAATAATCAAAAAAAATGTTTAATAAAAAATAAAGTTTTACTTTAAAACATTTACAAAGTTAAAAAATAATAATTAAAAAAAAATTAAAACACTTATTTTTAATTAAATAATTAATTTAATATTCAATTTAAAAAAATTTAAAACAAATATTATAAAGATAAGTGAATTGAAAACTTTTTATTATTATAACATATAGTACAATTTGATTTTTCAATATTAAAAAAAAACTTTATAAGCTGTATTAACACTTAATATGAACAAATTTATTGATTTTCGATAATTATTTATTTGTATTAGTTACTACAATTTGATCTTTCAACATTAAAAATATTTGAAAACTATTCGAGTCACTGTGTAAACACTCAATAAGCAGCGAAAAATACAATGCCCGATAGGATAGATTTGATATGAACAAAATTATCGATTTACGATAATTCTGAATATGTTAACCGAACACCGACGATTTAGCTGATCAAACAAAGATTCAGTAAATATTTTGCTTTAAAAAGAAGTTCGCAGAACAAGCACACGCAAAGCACTACACATAAACTAAATTGATACGAGATTAAAAGAAAAGTGAGGAAAGGGTGCAAGCACTAAAAAGTAGAAGGCTTACTTCGAAAAAAAAAAATATTTTGTCAAAGTCCGGTGACATTAGCGCTGATATTGAGTGTGCAGGAAAGCTGTGATAAAATAAAGCAATAAAGTGTAGCATAAATGGATAAAAAATTAATCCAATGCAAAGAGGTGACGCCGCCAAAAGTCAAAGCTGTAAGTGTTTTACTTAATGCGCCAAATGAGTCCATTGCTTGTTGGCCACGAAGTCTGTAATGTCTGTGTATTTGCTAGGCCAGAAACTTCTAATTGAATTGTTAGATTTTTGGTTTTTATTTTTCTGCCTTTTTGGCAATACGCTGGCAAGCTTTTTGCGCTAAAACCGTTAACCCTTGCATACTTTTTCAACACTTTTGTGCTAGCATTTTTCTCATACCACCAAGTTTGCACTGCTTTATATGTAGCTCATGGCATGACATTTTCAGTGGCGTCAGCTTGGCAACATTTGCATTTTTGTCGCTGTCGGCACCGATTTGGCTGCGCAACTCAAAATGGAAGCGGTCACTTGTTTCTTTTTGCCTGCTAAAATTATCCCATGAAATGCATAAAAAACATTGAAATTTATATTTCCATATTTAGATTTGGACAGTCAGTGTAAAGTGGCATGAAAACAATAACAAAACATAAATTGAAATAGAAAAATCAGTTAGGAGTGACAAATTTCCAAAATTCGAATACACGAAAAAATTGCATGGTGCGCGTATTTTTGGCGCTTTACCAACACAAACGTATGTAGCTTGGCGTTCAATGCGTCAAGGAATAAATGGCGTCAGTTCGGCGGGCGACCGCCTTTGACTCAAAGGTTACAGACAAACAGTTAAAAAGTTAAAATTGGAAATCACGTGCCAAAAGCAGCAGATCTATATTGTTGAAGGTCACCGCAAGTGTGCGTAAATCATTTGTATTTGCTGTCAAAGTGGCGAAAGTGAAATGATAAAAATCGCTATGCACTTGAATATACTACTAAATCATTTTCGAAGCAAATACGAGTAAGTAGAAAATAAGAAGCATAAAAAGGAGTGGGCTTGGAAGTAGTTACTTCACGCCTGAACTACGCGCTGAGTTTTGATACCAGATTAGATTAGGTTAGGTTCGGTTAGATGGTAGAGTTGATCCGCGAACCACTCAGAGAGAGAGGGAGAGAGAGCGAGCTCTCACATGAGACAAGCCATTTCAAACTTTATTTCAATCACCCTATATTTAAGCAGACGCAAATTCGCAGCTCATTAAGCCACTTAAGCTCTTTTAAAATTAACACAAATCCACGTGCTAAATTAAAAATTTTTTAGAATTGATATGCAAGCAAGTTAGTTTTCTTAGAAAATTGCATTGCTTTTGATTGTAATCGCTGGCAATCAAGTATATTTACATACATACATATATATAGATCTCATAACCCGCAAAGCAGCTTCCCGGTTTCAAGTATGGAGCCGGTCTCGAGCGTATGAGCAAAAACCAATTAATAATTGTTTACACAATAAATTCAAATGAAAATATAAGCATGTTTTTCAAACGAAAAACGAATGCAATTTAAATATGCGAAAGTGTGGAGAGCTAACAGGCACTTATATATGTACGCTCAGCGATCTCTTTGTCTGAGCGGCATATGTGGTTTTCGTATAAACTGGTTTGCGTTTATTATAAGCACAAGTAATCAGCAACGCGCGCTACGGCCAAACAAAATTATCAGCGCAAAAGTCAGTTTCATATTGCCGAGCTCAACTTGAAACCGTTGCAGTTTGTTAGAAGACGTGCGCGAGACTGCAGCTCGAACATACGTTCCGAAAATTGTATTCAGACGAAAATTTGCTGTGAAATATAACCGCAAAATGCAGCGCTGCTTGTTAATATACGCTGCGTGCTGTTTTATTGCCACCGCCGTTTACGCAATACCACACTATGAGGTGGCGAAGGCAAAAATAGATGTCTTCCCCAAAGGTTTTGAGGTTTCCATACCCGATGAAGAGGGCATCACACTTTTCGCTTTCCATGGCAAGCTTAATGAGGAGATGAATGGTTTGGAGGCCGGCACTTGGGCCAGAGATATTACAAAGGCGAAAAATGGACGTTGGACTTTTCGTGATGCGAACACAAAGTTGAAACTCGGCGATACGCTCTACTACTGGACCTATGTGATCTACAATGGTTTGGGCTATCGTGAGGATGATGGCGTTTTTGTGGTGAATGAGTATGCAACACCCGTGATTAATACTGGCGACGATACAAAGCACGGTGACGCTGTTTTATTAGATGTACGTAGTGGCAGCTGCCAAACGACACCGTCGCGCAAAAATGGTGTAGAGTTGCGTTGTGCCAATCAACTGTTATTCGATGATGACTTTAACGGCTCGCGCTTGGACAAGAATAGCTGGACCGTAGAGCGACGTTTCCCCACAAAACCCGACTATGAATATAACTTATACTTGAACGATGCAACCGATGTGTTGCAAGTGGGTAACGGCATGGTTACCATAAAACCAAAATTGACATCGCGTCATTTTCAGCAGTACAAGAAACCGTTACATGCGCAATATGATCTCGGCGAAAGTTGTACAGGCCGTCAAGGTAGTGAGGAGTGTGTACGCGATGGCACAGCAACACCGTATATATCAATACCGCCCTTCATAACCGCACAGTTCTCGACAAAGGGTCACTTCTCCTTCAAATATGGACGCATTGAGATACGCGCTAAGTTGCCACGCGCCAACTGGGTTTTCCCGCAATTGTGGCTGCAGCCGGTTAACACGGAATATGGTGCCGATAGTTATCAGTCGGGACAAATGCGCATCGCTTTTAGCTATGTAAACGATACACAAATGCATCTCTTTGGCGGTTTGATCGTGAATGCGGATAATAAGTGGCGTTATGAGAAAATGTGCGAATTCCCGGACACAGCCATTTTCAATTTGGCCAATGATTTTCACACATACAAACTGGTGTGGAGTGAGAATGAAATTTCGGTGGCTGTGGATAATCAAAATTATTGCACTTTCAATCCCGTTAAAGATGGCGCCATAGCCGATATGTTCAAAGATGGGCAAGAGCTACCGAATAAGGGTTTGCTGCAGAAGGGTGGTAAATTGGCGCCCTTCGATCAGGAATTCTACATCACTATGGGTTATGGCATTGGTGGCGTACACGATTTTAGCGATAATTTATATGGCTGGCGACCGGAGAAACCTTGGGGCAATACTAATCCACGCGGCATGGGTTCATTATTGAAAAATGTGATTTTTGATCACTGGATGTCCAGCGGAGAGATGGTTATTGATTATGTGAAAGTCTATTCTATATAAATTTGAAAAAAAAAAAAGTTTGCTGCGGTAGATAACTTTGTTACATTGAGAAATGTGTTATTGATTTGTTGGTATGAGTGTCGTGTTATGAGTTTTTGAATAAAATTTCTATATGAAACATAACCTAATAAAAACAAAAATTAACAAATAACTTGCGTATGTATTGCTAAATAGTCGTGGCTACGGACAAAAATGCATGTAGAGTTTTATTTCACATTAGTTGAATAGCAAACGCCAAGGTAGCGTTTAGCAAGTATGGATCGAAGACAAGTTTTGAGCATTGACAAAAGACACTGCAGATTTTTAAAAACAAGAAAAAACGTTAACTACGGTTGCACCGAAGCTATAATACCCTTCACAAATACAAAGGTTCCTTACAAGCACTTCATTCCGAACGCTCACTTTGTATGGCAGCTATATGCTATAGTTAACCGATGAAAACAATTTCTTTGAAGATTGCATTATTGCCTTAAATAATAATCCATGCTTAATTTCGTGAAGATACCTCATCAAATGAAAGAGTTTTCTATACAAGCACCTATTTTTGATCAGTCAGTTTGTATGGCAGCTATATGCTATAGTGGTCCGTTCTGAATAATTTCTTCGGAGATTTTACCGTTGCCTTGTACAACAATCCCTGCCAAATTTCGTGAAGATACCTCGTCAAATGAAAGAGTTTTCTATACAAGCACCTATTTTTGATCAGTCAGTTTGTATGGCAGCTATAGCTATAGTGATCCGATCGCGTCCGTTCCGACAAATGAGCAGCTTCTTAGTGAGCAAAGGACAGGTGCAAAATTTCAGGTCGATAGCTTAAAAACTGAGGGACTAGTTTGCATATATACAGATGGACATGGCTAAAGCAACTCTGCTCATTACGCCGATCATTTATGTATATATTTTATAGGGTCTGCGACGTTTCCTTCTGCGTGTTACAAACTTCGTGGCAAACTTAATATACCCTGTTCAGGGTATAATAAAATATTGCTGGGAGCACGTTTTATAACACGCAACCACGCAAATTGCGGTTGATTTTAGCAAATATTCTCTTAGCATCAATAAATATAATAAGTGCTGTTATAAAAATTGCAAAGAGCAGCAAACCGGTCACATTGTTAACTGCTTTTTAGTTGCTCTTACTATGAAATATTATTTTTAAATTAATATATGTATACATAAAGACACAAACTTTGCTAAAAATGTTTGAAACACACAGTTTTCTTTGTGTATATTTTATTATTTTGCTTACCAGTTACTTGACATTTATAGCGGAACTTTATGTTAATTTGCAACGCTTTGACTTGCTTGCATTTAAAAGCAAAATCTTGCTGCGTAATACACTGCAAAGTTTTATAAATTCCCTTTTATATACCATATGTATGTATGTATGTACATATTTACGACAACCAGTTTATGTTTAACGTCGTATTTTTTATGTGTGTAGAATTGCTGTGATTTTTCTTACTCCGCTTGACAGCACACATTGCAGCGTTAAATGTCAAAACAATACAATGCAACTAAAACTGTTCGTTGCATTACGCATTGGCTTTAAAACTGTTTGATTGTTTTTATTTAAGTAAAAATTAAACTCTAGTGCAGTGTGTAGGCTAGTGATATCTGTAAAAGTCATATTTAACGGTTGCAACCATAATTAAAACACCGGTCAACAAAATAAATTTTTTGTTTTCTGTTTTCATACTGAAATTCTGATTCTAGACATTGAAAAACACTGGAATTTTTAGTTTTAGCTTTTGCCGGATACGAATGGGGCTGATTTGCACATAAAAGAAATAAGAAAACAAATTAATTGATATTTTTTGTCATTGTTTATTCGTATTTCAAGCTAAATTAAAGAAAACTAAAATAAATAAATTTTCATAAAGCTATATAAAAAATACAACAATGACGAATTCTTGATTACTTGGGACTTTAAAGCATTTTGTTGGCAATTGGTAAAAAAAAAAATTAATTAATATTTTTTCCATGTATTTTTGTCATTGTTCATTCGTATTTCAAGCTAAAATAAAGAAAAATAAATAAATAAATTTTCATAAAGCTTAGCGTTCTTGAAAACAAAGAGGAAAAAAGCCGCATCCTCGTCGTCAAAATGTCTACGCTTATTGTCATTTCAATAATAAAACAATGACGGATTCTTGATTACTACATTATTGACATTTAAGTTTTGACATTTCATGTCATTGTCATAACATTTAAGTTTTGACATTTAATGTCATTATCATATGAGCCAACCAAAAAAAAATATTTTCTTTTTATAAAATTGCGGCACCTTAAAAATATATGTCGAATTCGTCGCTAACATTTTTAATTTTCTTGATACTTTTATATTAGAAATTAGAAATCGTTTTGTTTGTACACACAATAGAGAAATATTTAAAGAATATGCATGCCAAATGTCCAGTAAATCAACTGAAGAGAACTAAAGATGTCATGACGACCGCATTGAAAAAAGCAGTTTCGAAAAGAATGAGTTCAAAACTTTATGTTAAAACTGAACCGAGCTCGTTGCCAAGACACTAAAACGGATCGAGTTGCGAAAATAATTGAAATTTTAAAAAATTCTTTTAAGAAAATATTTTTAAGGAACAAACTATCGAAATATAGCAAAAAACAAGTTCCGATTTTTTCAAATTTCTAGACAAGAATAACCCGCTAAAGGGCACACCTAAGTAGTGTGAAATTAAAAATAAAATAGGTTTTTTTATATTCATATTTCGCTAGATTATACCTTTAAAAATAACATATAAAAATTTTAAAAAGATATCTCAAATAGTTTTTGAGTTAGAGGCAGCTTAAACATACTTTGGAAATTTTCAATGTTTTTATGCATAATTTTTTTTCAGGAGAGCTTTCAAACTTAACGTAGAATTTATTTGGCTGTCTAGAAATTCAAACCACTGTGGGTAAAAGTTTTAACATCACACTTCCTTCCTCAACCCAACGGTTTTTGAGCACAATTTCTCAGTATACGAGAGCAAAACAACATACAAACATACATACATACATAGCTATGCACAGTTATACTCTATTCTAGTTTAATCAATGCTCGCAAGTTTATTATCAATTAAGCGAGAATCCTCAATTAGTCGTAAGAGCCGAGTGAGTTGAGTGTATGGCGTTCGTTTAATCGCTTTTTTAAAATCGCAATCTCAGCAAGCTTAAAATTGATATGAAAAAAAGCAAAGCAATTCCGACAGCTGTGGTCGCAACCTCGCATAACTGTAGATCTGCCGATTAAAATATATTTTATAAATATATGTATGCAGTTGTATTTACGTGCATCAGTATATTTGCAATTATTCCTAAAAATATATGCTTACATAATTACAAATAATTATAACGGGGATAATCCATGAAATTTCTGAGCTTTTGGTTTTTCCTACACACCTACATAAGCATTAATATATGTAGTAATGAGCAAAACAATGGCAACGCTTGCTGTTTGGGTATTATACCGTTGCCTTGTACAACAATCCCTGCCAAATTTCATGATGATACCTCGTCAAATAAAAAAGTTTTCCATACAAGAACCTATTTTTGATCGGTCAGTTTATATGGCAGCTATATGCTATAGTGGTCCGTTCTGAATAATTTCTTCCGAGATTTTACCGTTGCCTTGTACAACAATCCCTGCCAAATTTCATGATGATATTTTGCCATATCATGCCATTATTTACCGAATATTTAAAATAATGAATATCGTGCTGCTGTTTTTTTGCACACTACATACGTATGCATGTGTGTTTAAGTATATTCCTGTGATTTTGTAGCGCCAAATACCTGCGATTAAACTACAAAAACAACAATGATTAATGCATGTTCTATAAAACAACAAAAAAAACAAAAACGAAAACAAATCAAGATTATGAGTAAGAGCGCTTGGTTGAGAGCTGACACACTCTGTGGCTATTTTTCGTATTCACTCGGTTTTTGTGATTTACCACTGCTGAACTGGTTTGTCCATGCTTTTACTTACTTTAGAAATCTACACAACGCTTTCGCCAAAAAAAAAAAAAACTTATCAGCCGTGATGAGAGCTTGATATTGCGGAGCTTAACGCGCAGTGGTCGTAGTAGTTTGTTAGAAGACAAGCAACACGGATGTCCGACACCACATTTATAGCGGCGATTAGCGTGAAAATAAGCTTAAAATCATAGAGATGTCGCAGCTGCGATTCATTATTGTCATGTGCTATTTTATAGCCATGGCGCTAGGGATACCCACTTATGAGGTGCCGAAAGCAAAAATAGTTGTGTACTATCCGAAAGGCTTTGAAGTCTCCATACCGCACGAGGAGGGCATCACGCTCTTCGCCTTCCACGGCAAACTCAATGAGGAAATGGAAGGTTTAGAAGCGGGCACCTGGTCCAGAGATATTGTCAAAAAAAAGAATGGACGTTGGACTTACAACGAACGCAACGCCAAGTTGAGAATTGGTGATACGCTCTACTATTGGACTTATGTGATCTACAATGGTTTGGGTTATCGTGAAGATGACGGCGTGTTTACGGTGCGCGAGTATGCGAATCACACTACGGACGCCGGCGAGGAGACAAAACGCGCTGAGCATGGAAAAGGTGGCAGTGGCAGCAGCAGCAGCAGCATAAGCGGTAGCGTAGCTAACAACGTTGTTGGTAGTACCGCCACGAGCAGTGGTAGCGTTGACACTACCTGCAGCAATAGCGATACTCACGGCGGCGCCGGCATCATTGATGTGCGCACTGACATATGCAAAGCTTCATTGTCTTATAAAAATGGCCTTCAGCAGCAATGTGCTAATCAATTGCTATTTGAAGATAATTTCACTGGCACACAGTTGAACAAAGATCGTTGGACTGTGGAAGAGCGCTTCGCCACAAAACCAGATCAGGAATTCGTGCTGTACTTGAATGTGTCTGAGGTTTTACAAGTGAAGAATGGCATGGTTAGAATATTCCCCGAACTGACCGGCAGCCATTTTCAACAACACAATCATCCGTTAAATATTAAACATGACATTGGACCGCGTTGCACCGGGCGTGCGAACAGTGAAGAATGTGTGCGCGATGGCAGCGCGACATCTTACTTATCTATACCGCCCTTCATAGCCGCACAATTCTCCACAAAGCGACATTTCTCCTTCAAATATGGACGCGTTGAGATACGCGCGAAATTGCCACGCGCCAACTGGGTCTTCCCGCAATTGTGGCTGCAGCCAGTGAATGAAAAATATGGCGCCGACGACTATCAATCGGGTCAAATGCGCATCGCCTTTAGCTATGTAAATGATACTAAAATGCATCTTTTCGGTGGTTTGATTGTGAATGCGAATAGCAGTTGGCGCTGGGAGAAGTTGTGTGAATTTCCGAATGCACAGCAGCTCGACTTGGGCAACGACTTTCATGTTTACACGCTGATTTGGACGGAAGAGCATATTTCGGTAGCCATAGATAATGAGGTGTATTGTAATTTTAATCCCGACAGACACGGTACGCTGGCTAATTTGAACAAGGACGAGTTGGAGTTGCCGAATAGCGATTTACTTAAGAAGGGTAGTAAAATGGCGCCCTTCGATCAAGAATTCTACATCACTTTGGGTTATGGCATTGGTGGTGTGAATGATTTCAACGAAGATTTATACCACTGGCAACCGGAGAAACCGTGGGAGAATACGAATCAACGTGGCATGAGCACGCTGCTGAAGGCGGTAGAGCCAAATTTTGATCATTGGTTGGAGTTTGGCGAATTGCTTATTGATTACGTAAAGGTCTATGCAATTTAGAGTTTTAGTTGCATAAAGTGTACTTCATTTTTCTAAAATTGTAGCGAATTTTTAATAAATTTTTGTAACAAAAACTATATATATTCTATATTGAATCTTTAGTGTGCACATTGAGTGCGAGAGAAATTTGGTAGTAAATGTCAACAAAATAAACCAAGTAGAAAGCAAAAACCTTAAAACAAAATACAAAAACAAAAAATGCACAAAATCTAGTTTCATTGAAATTCATTGTTTAAACATAGCAGGTAATTAAATCAATAAAAAATTATGGCAATCTACTAAATATATGTATTCTACCATTCTATTCCACACAAAACAAAAAACATAAATAAATAAACTCCAATACTGATACCAACCCTGAAAACTATAAATAAAACAAAAAAAAAAATAAATAATAATAATAAAAAATTATAATAAAAAAAATAAAATATAAAAAAAATAAAAAATTATAATAAAAAAAAAAAAATTATAATAAAAAAAATAAAATATAAAAAAAAAATAAAAAATTATCATTATAAAAAAATAATACTTATAAAAAAAATAATTATTATCAAAAAAAAATAGCATATATAAAAAAATTAAAAATTATAATCAAAAAAAATTAAAAATAATAAAAAAAAATATTAAATAAAATATAAAAAAAAATTATTAAATAAAATATAAAAAAAATCAATTAAAAAATATCAATTTAAAAAAATTACAAAAAAAAATTAAATATAAAAAAGTTTACAATAAAGTTATTTAAAAAAAAAGTTTACAATAAAGTTATTTAAAAAAAAAAATTATTTTTAAAACATTAAAAACAATTAAAAATATTAAAACATAAATAAAAAAAATTGAAAAAGTACAAAATAAAAAAATAAAAGTACAAAATAAAAATAATAAAAGTACAAAATAAATTAAAATATAAAAAAGTAAAAAATGGCAATACAATTAAAAAACAAGCTAAATTGAAAAACAAAATAAAATTAATTTGTTAAAAACTAAATTCAAAAATATATACACATATCAAAAATAAATTAAAAAAATATATATAACAAAAAAATTAAAATATTAAAGACAAATTTAAAAAAAATTAAATAAAATTAAAGTAGGTAAATTAATTAAATTATTAATAATAAAAATATATAAAAAATTAAATTATAATAAATATATATATTATATATAAAATATGTATAATAATTAAACTAGAGTCAAAAAATCTTAATAAAAAAATTTAACAATTACAAAAAAATATACAAATAAAAAAAAAGAAATGAAATCAATGCAAAGAAATAATTAAAACAAAATAATAACAAAAACATGTAATAAAATTTAATTATAAAACAAAATTTTATTAAAAAATCAAATAATTAAAAAAATATACAATCAAAAATTAATTAGATTAAAATTTAAAAAATTAATTAAAATAAAATTTAAAAAATTAATTAAATTGAAAAATTTAATTTAATTAATATTGAAAAAGTTAATTAAATTAATAACAATAAAAATATATAAGAAATTACCTAAAAATTAAAATAAATAAATTAAATTAAAATAAAAAAAATTTTAATCAAAACATGTAACAATTTTTAAAAATATACAAAAAAAAAATTTTAAATAAATTAAAAAAAAAAAATTTAATAAATTAAAAAAAAAAGTTATTAAAATAAAAAATAATGCATTAAAAAGTAAAAAAAATATATACAAATATGCAAATAGAAAAAAAGTGAAAAAGTGAAAAAATTAGAAATCAAATACCTAATTTACGGGTGAATAAGGGCAGTCAATCCACAAAATTAGTGGGCTATAACGCAATTGTGGTTCTAAGTTTGAAATTCTTAAAAAGACCTCTTTTATGACACATAAAAACGTTTGCTGTCAGCAAAATATAAAGTGTACGGACCGCTCTGTTGTGAGAAAAAAATTACCCACCAACAACAACCAAACAAAAAAAACAAAACATATCACAACGAAGGCATTATTTAAATGATAACTCAATTTACGAACGGCTGTAAGTGAGTAATAGACATAATTTTTCACAAGAAATCAATAAGAGAAAAACATGAACTGAGATATTTATATAAGAAATCGACGGCAACTCAAACCACTTTAATTCAATGCACGCATCATTAAATAAGCTACGGGTGTGTGTGCCAGTGAGTGGCTTGGCCGAAGACGCCGACAGAAACGAAGGCAAGGCATGGAAGACGTTGATGACTACAATAATAAAAACCGAGAGGAACAGGCAAGACGGCAGTAGCAAAATTGCTATAGCTAAATTATTAAATATAATTATATTTGTCAACAATTGCTACGACGCGCTCAAGCGTTCTGCGAATTTTATTTTTTTTTTATTAATTTTTTTATACTTTTTTTGCATGGCTTAACTTTTTGGCTTGTGCCGCAGTTGTCATGTGACATGCAACAAATTAAAGTAGACTTTTAGGCGCATGCAAGCGTATAAAGAAAATAGCATTAAAGTGAAGTGCAAACGCCAAAGGTATGAGTGTGGAAAATATGTAAGAAAATGTGAGCAAAGGTGTGTGTGGCGGTGCAAGAGAGGCATTTGTGATTTATTATATTTGATGGCTTTTTTTCCTATTCAGGTGGGAAGGCGGCAGTGTAATAAAAATGAAAAATATTGTAATTGTGCAGTTACAACACAATTATGGTCATAAAATTGCTGAAATGTGTTTGTTTGTAGCGCGGAATAATAGTAAAATAGAACATTCTTGCAGCAACATAAAGGTTTAATCATGAATCATTTTAGTTTATTTAATATTTTTTATAATATAGACGTTCCCTTAACAGTATTACATATGTATGTATTTTCAAGGCTTAGAACTGTGTTACTTTTATAATTTAAAGTTTGCTCTATTACTTCAGAAGATTTGGGTACTCCACAAAGTAAAATACCTTAAATATTCCACAAAATGCGTAATTTTGGCAAATTCGAAATTTCGAGAAATGTAAATAAGTCAAATTCTTGAACATTTATTAGAATAAAAATTTGTTGATTTCGGAATTGTGGAATACTCAAAAATTGAGTATTGGAAATGCCGAAATTTCGGAAAATGTAAAAAGTCAAAATCTTAAAAACTTTCGGTATTCCGAAATACTTCAAAATGTTTTTATAACTGAAGTTCAAATGTTTAGGTCTAAAATGAAGTATGGAAAATACTGAAATTTCGGAAAAATTAAATATTTTTTTTCGGTATTCCGAAATATTTAAAAATTTTTATCTATGTTTTTAAAACTAATTGTGAAGCGTTCTCAAATTTTTAGGTCTAAAATGGATTTTTGGAAATACTGAAATTTTGAAAAATATTTGAAATTTTTTTTTAAGTTTTAAAAACTAATTGTGAAGCGTTATCAAACGTTTAAGTCTAAAATGGAGTATGAGAAATACCGAAATTTCGGAAAATTTAAATTTTTTTTTCGGTATTCCGAAGTATTTCAAAATTTTTGTCTATGTTTTTAAAACTAATTGTGAAGCGTTCTCAAATGTTTAGGTCTAAAATGGATTTTTGGAAATACCGAAATTTTGAAAAATAATTGAAAATTTTTTTTATGTTTTAAAAACTAATTGTGAAGCGAACTCAAATGTTTAGGTCAAAAATATAGTATTGGATATACCGAAATTTTGAAAAATGTAAATACATAAGTCAAAATCTTGAACATTTTCAGTATGAAAATTTAATGTATTTCTTTCGTAATGTTTTTCTACAATATTATTAAAAAATCAAATGTTTCGGGTATAAAAATTAAGTATCTAACAACAAAAAGTGTGCAAAAATAAATTATCTGCGTTCCAAAACAAAAAATTAGCAGTTTTTCAAAAATTTGTAGCACTCCATTTGTCGCAGTATGACATCAAACGATTCTGAAGCTTAGAAAATCATTTGCGCCTAAAACTATACTACACAGTTATGCGTCAGTCAAGGGAATTGTGGTTAAACTAAAAGCGTATGTTAGCACCAAAACACATATTTTGTGGACACATAACGGGAGCATAACCAAAAATCTGCGCTTTGTTAGTGTTTAATTTTTTTTTTTTTTTGTGGAAATAACTGCGGCATAGTTTGCGGCAGTTTGGCAAAAGATAGCGTACGCAGATTTTCGAATACAATGCTGAACTGAATTTCTTTGCCGTTGAATTACAAACAAAGAACACTATGTAGCGTGTGTATCTACAGAAAAACGCTTTCTTGTTGGCGTGTGAGCAGCAGTGACTAAGAAGACAAAATTCGAAATATTTATTGGCTAGCTGTTTTTGGCAAGACAATGAAGGACAACAATGGCGCCGATGAAAAGCGGTAAGCAGCGGTAGGCTATTTACGCACTGTGGCACGCACGTCAACTCATACATACAAACATATGTGTGTATGTATGTACATACATGAGGATAAGTAGTGAAAGAGGCCAGATAGTAGACTGCTTTTAGGCGCCAGCGCATATTGTAAGATTATTTCCCTTCCGGTACAAACATACAAACACATACACACAGATTAACCGTATTGTATGTACATATGTATAGCACAAGTGTAAGCGAGCACATAGTATTTGGCCTAAAAACGGCGCGGCAAGTGGGAAAAATTGGAACGGCAGAAAATTAAATTAAAAGCAATTTTAGGGTGGTGCGGTGCAATCGAAGAAGAGAGGTAAAGAAGAGGCTGCGAAATATAACAGAATATATGCGCGTTATGTTAAAACTACAAAAAAAAATATAATTTAAAAAATACTGTAATTCAATGGAATTTTTTATATAATTGTATTGAAATTACAAAATAAACAAAAAACAAATATTTAAGATCATAACAAACATTAAAAATAATAATATAAAATTAAAAATTTTATTAAAAAAAAAAAAACAATAAATAAAAGAAAAAAATATAAAAACTATAAAAAAAAAATAATTATAATAAATAAAATATAAATATAATAATAGTATATATGTATATAATAAATAAAATAATAAATAAAAACAATAAATAAAAAAAAAACAATAAATAAAAAAAAACAATAAAAAATAAAAAAAACAATAAATAAAAAAATAAAAAACAATAAAATTAAAAAAAAAAAATAATAACAATAAAAAAAATTAAAAATTTAAATATTATAAAAGAAAATATATATAATATTATATATAAAAATGTCTTTATAAAAAATTTGTATTTAATCAAAAATAAGCATAAAAAATAATACAATATTATTAAAAAAT